CAGAGCAAGGGGAACACTCCTCCACTGGTGATGGGAGTGAAAACTTGTACAGCCACTTTGGAAATCAGTATGGCTGTTTCTCAGAAAATTGGCAATCAATATTCCTCAAGACCCAGCTATACCATTCTTGGGCATATACCCAAGGAATGCTTAATCATACCACAAGGACACATGCTCAACTATGTTCATATCAGCATTGTTTGTAATAGCCAGAACCTGGAAACAACCTAAATGCCCCTCAACTGAAGAATGGATAAAGAAAATGTGGCACATATATACAATGGAGTACTACTCAGCAGTAAAAAACAATGACATCATGAAATTTGCAGGCAAATGGATGGAACTAGAAAATATCACCCCGAGTGAGGTAACCCAGACTCAGAAGAACAAACACAGTATGTACTCACTTATAAGTGGATACTAGCTGTAAAGCAAAGGATAACCAGACTACAACCCACAGCTCCAGAGAAGCTAGCTAACAAGGAGGACCCTAAGAAGGACACATGGATAACCTGGGAAAGGAAAATAGATGAGATCTCCATGACTAAACTGGGGGTGAGATGGGGCAATGGAGGGTAGGGGATGGGGGGGTGAGACCATAAGGGAATGGGAATGTGAAGCTGGAACAGGGACAGAGTAGGAGAGCAAGGAAAGAGATACCATGATAGAGGGAGACATCAAGGGAACAGGGAGAAACAGGGTGCTAAGGAAGTTCCTAGGAATCCAAAAGGACAACCCCACCTTAGACTACTAACAGTAGTGGAGAAGGTGCCTGAACTGGCCTACTCCAGTGATCAGATGACTGAATACCCTAACTGTCATCATAGAGCCATCATTCAGTAACTGATGGAAGCAGATGCAGAGATCCACAGCCAAGCACCAGGCTGAGCTCTAGGAGTCCAGTCAAAGAGAGGGACATCAAGATCATGATGGGGAAACCTACAGAGACAACTAAACCAAACTAGTGGGAACTCATGAACTGTGGATCAATAGCTGTGGAGCCTCCATGAGACTGGACTAGGTGCTCTGCATACAGGAGACAGTTGTGTAGCTTAATCTGCTTAAGGGGCACCTGGCAGTGGGATTAGGATCCATCCCTGCTGTATGAGCGGGCTTTTTGGAGGCCAGTGCCTATGGTGGGACACCTTACACAGCCTTGGTTCAGGGGGAGGGGCTTGGACCTGCCTCAACTGAATGTACCAGTCTGCTGACTCCCCATGGGAATTCTTGCCTCAGAGGAGGTGGGAATGGGGGATGGTTTGAGGGGGAAGTCTGGGGGGTGGGAGGAGGGAGGAGAGGGACATCTGTGGTTGGTAAAATGAACAGGAAATTTCTTAACAAAAAAAAAAAAAAGTTGTGTGGGCTTTTTTATAGAGTTGATGAGAAGTGAGCTTTAGCCAAGACAAATGCCTATTGAGAAGTGAAGGCAAGAAGACCAGGACTTTAAAGTTACCTCACCACCACTACTTTGTAACTTCAAGGCCAGCCTGGGCTACATGAGATCACATCTTGAAATAACCAGATTCTGACACTATTAATGGTCTTTACATTATTTCTTCCATTATCAATTGTGGATCATTGATATACATAGAAGAAGCTCCATCTTATCTTGTAAAATGTAATTAGATTCTGTAATGGAGCAACTAGTTTTGGTATCTGCCTATAAATTGAACGGGGTCTTCTTACCATGCCCAAATTGCCCATACTTTCGTCTTTTTGAGATGGGGTCTCACTGTGTAGTCACAGCTGGCTTGGAACTGCTCTGTAGACCAGGCTGGCCTAGAAGTTAAAGAGATCTGCCTGCCTCTGCCTTCCAAGTGCTGGGACTAAAGGCCTGTGCCACCACAACCTGACCTTCAACACTCACCAGATTTTCAATTCTGCCAGTTTCTCTCAGTATCTGACTGCAGTTCTTCAAATTTAGTTTCTTGTTTCTCCTTCTTTCCCACCTTGCATCTGTGACAACTAAATTGACAGCTCGGATCCTCCTGAAGATTCTAAACTACACTGTCCCTGGATTTTTCCCTCCTAGGACCTAAGAATCATTGCAGGCTACAGTCTAAAGACTCTCTATATACCTAAAGGACCATCAATGCTGCAGACCGAGATGGGATGGACTTCCAACCGGACAGGCTGCTGTTTGGGCTCTTAGGTAAAATGCTGGGGTTATGCATTCTCCCATGTGAAAAGTAATCAAGACAGCTTCATCAGGGCTTCAGTGTCTTAGCTCAGGAAGCAGCAGTGCCATTGAATCGAAAGATCTCCATCTATCTACCTCTTAGAATCTACTTTCTGGATTCCCTTGGGTTCTAATCTTTACTTTAATGGGATATTTCACATTGATATCTCTCCTTTTTTTGTTTTAGATATTTTGTGTTTAAGATGCTGGATCTGGAGGACTGAGTATAGTCCAAGCTGGTCTCAACACACCAACAGATGCACCAACTGGTCGGTCCTCCAGGAATACTACCACCAAGAGGGATTCCTCCTTTAGATTGCCCTTACCCTGAGTTATAGAAGGACAGCCCCTCTGAGCCAGTCTTGGGCAAGAAGGAGCACTAACAAGGCTGATCAGAAGTTCTGATAGTCAGACAGGCTAAGTGTGAGCCGAATTCGATGTGAACCTCCTACAATCTAACTGCCTGCACCACTGAAGCAGCTGAACTCCACTCCTGTACCTAATCACCCACAGCATGGCTCCCACCATCAGTTAAGGTGTGCCTCACGCAGTGTGTTGAGAGTTAAAACACACTCATGGCATTTTTGTCACCTCCTTCTTTCACAGCCACCTTCCTCTTTCTCACAGCCTTGGCATATAAAGGATTTGTCTATCCTGTCCCCAAGAGATTTCTGATGTAGGTTTGAGCACCTTCCTGCTGCAGTGGCCTTCTTAACATCCCCACCCACCCTCCTTTTCTAAAATTCCATTTTTGAGATAAGTTCTCGGGTAGTCCAGACTGGTCTCAAACTTGTTATGTACTCAAGGCTGTCCTTGAACTCCTGATCTACCTGCCTCCAGCACCCAAGTGTTGGGATTTCAGGCACATCAGGAACACCTGGGAACACTTGTACAATTTTCAGGTTTGCATTTCTCTGCCAGTAGGATTTTGTGCCTTTAGTCCAATATCAATCATCAGGACCAGACAATGATGTTTTGTCCAATATAACATGATGGAATTATCCAGTAGTTTGGGAACTAGCCAAAGCACTGGAGTCTGTTATACCAAGATTGTGTGAGAGATCTTGATTAAAGGGAGAGTTAGAGCCAGGGCAATGATATCTATATTCTCAGCTACTGAGGAGGCTTGAGACCAAGACTTTGTGCCAGTCTGGGTAACATAGCAAGACCCTGTTTCCAAAAAAGGAGGAGGAGGAGGAAGAGGAGAAAGGGAGGAACGGGTAAGGGAAATAAGAGGAGGGAGGGGGTAGGGTTCTTACTTGTAGGATCCTCCAAACATACAGCAGCATAAGCATACACTCTTCCTAGTTCTATTTCTGGGAAAGTTCACTTATGAAAGCTGGATGCACAAAAGGTCCCAGGGCATTTATTTTGGGGGAGCCTTTCCCCCCCCCTCTTCTCCTCACATGACAGAACAGGAGGTTATAGATTTATGGCCACCTGGTCTGTTATGGCATTTTCTTTTTTACAAAATATGTCACCTGGTGACTGTGTCTAGGGACCCAGGAAGCTGATGTATTTGTTACAAGATCTTGGATTGAAAGAAGCAGGTAGTTCCCAGAGGAAACTCTAACATCAACACTTTGTTCATATGCTCTAGTCAGCATAGGAAAAATTGTAGCCAGGAGCAATTAAGGATGCAAAAGTGAGCCTTAGTATTGGTCACCACTCGAGTCTGGCAGCAATGGTGCACATCTTTAATCCCAGTACTTAGGAGGCAGAGACAGGAGGATCTTTGTGAGTTCAAGGCCAGCCAAGTCTACAGAGTGAGTTCCAGGACATCTAGGACTAAACAGAGAAACTGTCTTGAAAAACCAACCAACCAACCAACCAACCAATCAACCAATCAAGCAACCAACCAACAAACAAAAATAAACAAAATAGTCACCTCTCTTCACCTTTACCTAATTCCCCTGAAATGCTCAGGTGATTTGGTGGTAGTTTTGTTTTGTTGACAGGGTCTCACTGTGTAGACCTGACTGGTATCAAAATCATAGAGATTTTTCTGTCTCAGCCTCCTAAGTGTTGGGATTAAAGGTGTGAACCATTTACAAATTACCAGAATGGGAGATTATGGAATCTACTTTTAAAAAGGAACTACTTGTTTTAAATAAGATAAGT